GCATTCCATTGTATGGATAGACCACGTTTTGCCTGCCCATTTACCAGTTGATGGACATTTGGGTTGTTTCTAATTTTTGGTTATTATGAACAATGCTGCTGAGAACATTTGCGTGCAAATCTTTGTGTGAATACATTTTTTTGTTTCTCTTGAGTAGGTACTTAAGAGTTGGAATTGCAGGCCGGACGCGTTGGCTCACGCCTGTAATCCCAGCACTTTGGGAGGCTAAGGCAGGTGGGGCAGGAGGTCAGGAGTTTGAGACCAGCCTGACCAACATGGTGAAACCCCATCTGTACTAAAAATATAAAAATTAGCTGGGCGTGGTAGTAAACACCTGTAATCCCAGCTACTCAGGAGGCTGAGGCAGTAGAATCGCTTGCACCCGGGAGGCGGAGGTTGCAGTGAGCTGAGATTGCACCGCTGCACTCCAGCCTGGGCGACAGAGCAAGACTCCATCTCAAAAAAAAAAGAGTTGTAATTGTTGGGTCACATGGTAAATTTATGTCTGACTCTTTGAGAAACTGTAAAGCTCGTTTCCAGAATCACGGCTCCACGTTACGTTCCCCTAGCAGTGTATGTATGGAGGCTCTTGGTTCCTCAGTTCTCGACAACACTTGTTATTGTCTGTCTGTGAAGTGGCAGCTCAGTGTGGTTTTAATTTGCATTTCCTAATAACGGGTGATGTTGGACATCTTTTCATTTGCTGACTAACCATTTGTATATCTTCTTAGGTGAAATGTTTATTGAAATCTTTTGCCTATTTTTGGCTCCGTGGTACAGGAGTTCTTTGGCTATTTCAGTATAAGCCCTTTATCAGATATATGTTTTGCAAATATTTTCTCGTAGTCTGTTGCTTGTCTTTTTATTTTCTTAATAATGTCTTTGGAAGCACTGAAGGTTTTAATTTTGCTGAGCCAATTTATCAAGGTGTTTTTTTTTTGTTTTTTTTTTTTGAGACAGAGTCTTGCTCTGTTGCCCAGGCTGGAGTGCAATGGTGTCATCTTGGCTCACTGCATCCTCTGCCTCCTGGGTTCAAGTGATTTCTCCTGCCTCAGCCTCCTGAGTGGCTGGGATTACAGGCATACACCACCACGCCTGGCTAATTTCTTTGTATTTTTAGTAGAGGCGGGGTTTTACCATATTGGCCAGGCTGGTCTCGAACTCCTGACCTCACGTGATCCCAAAGTGCTGGGATCCTTGGCCTCCCAAAGTGCTAGAATTACGGGTGTGAGCCACTGCGCCCAGCCTGATTTGATTTTTAAAAACTAAATAGCAGACAAATAATGTCTGTATAACACGCGTACACCTTAAAGAATAATAAAATGAATACCTGTGTACCTTGCACCTTGCTAAAAAAAATAGAACTATACTAGTACCTTGTCCCCTGTGTGATGGGCTCCCGCTCCCTTCCCTTCAGAGGCCAAGCTCCTGGATTTTTTGTCATTCATTCCTTTGCTTTATAGTTTTGCTGTATGTCTGTTTAACTGTAAACAGCATAGTGTTTACATTAGCCTGTTTTGACCTTTATATAAATGTAATCATAGTGAAGGTGTTTTTCTATGACTTGCTCTTTTTTTCATTATGTTCGCAAGAGTTGTCTATTTTGAAAACTGGATTGTACTTGTTTGCGTATTTTTAAAAGTTTTTACAGATTCAGGGGGTCCATGGATGTATTGTGTAGTGGTGGGATTTGCGCTTCTTGGGTACCCATCATCTGAGTAGTGGGTTGCAGTCCGTTCATTTTCAGGTATTCCATTTATGTGAACCTATGACAATGTATTTTTCCAGCTCTCAATCATCGGAGTTATTTCTTGGCTTTTGCTGTTAAACTGATGCTGTGAACATTTTCTGGTTATCCGTGGGAGATAGAGTTTTGCTAGGCTATATGGCTAGGAGTAGAATTGCTTGGTTGGAGGGTGTGTGGTTGAACCTCATTGATAATGTCAGGATGTCTTCCAGAGTGGAGTGCCAGTTACACTCTACTTCCACCATAGCTGTACTAGTTTACTGTCACTGCTTAAACAGATTGCCACAGACTTCATGGTTTGAAACAACACAAATTTATTATCTTACATTTCTGGAGGTAAGAAATGTGAAACGGCTGCCACTGGGTTAAATCACAGTGTTGCCTGGGCTGTGTTCCTTGGTGACTCTAGTGGAGGCTCCACTTTCTCGTCTTTTCCAGCTTTTAGACACTACCTGCAGTTGTTGGCTTCTGGCCCCTTCTTCCATCCTCAGTGCCAACAAGGGTCAGTTGAATCTTTCTTACACTGCATCACTTGGACACTGACTCCTGCCTCTGTCTCCACATACAAAAGCCTTTGTAATTACATTAGGCCCACTGAAGGCTGGGCAAGTGACTCGCACCTGTAATCCTAGCACTCTCTATCCAAGGCGGGAGGATCGCTTGAGCCCAGGAGTTCAAGACCAGCCAAAGCAACATAGCCAGACCCTGTCTCTACAAAACATTTTAGAAATTAGCCAGGTGTAGTGGTGTGTGCCTGTAGTCTCAGCTACCTGGGAGGCTGAGGTGGGAGGCCCAGGAGGTCGAGGCTGCAGTGAGCTGAGATTGCACCTGTGCACTCCCGCCTGGGAGACAGCAAGACCCTGTCTCAAAAAAAACGAAAACAAAAAAATAAACAAAAATGACATTGGAGCACTAGAATAATCCAGGAAAACCTCCCTATTTTAAGACCAGCTGATTGGCAACCTGAAATCCATCTGCTATCTTAATAACCTTTTGCTCTGTAATGTAACATAGTCACAGGCTCCTTGGATTAGGATGTGGACAGCCTTGGGAGCTGTTATTTTGCCTACCACAATTAGTGTTTGAAGGTCACTAGTCCACAGCAATGAGGACTTAAACATCTAACAATCTGTGTGCATGTGTGTGTATATAATATTTAGTGACTATTTTAAAATGATCTGTGTTTGCTGTGGGCCTCTGTAATTTTAATGATTTCTCTCTTGTCCCTGTATGAAGCAGGATCAAGTTCTGGGGACATGGGGATCTTTCTCTTTTTTTTTGAGACTGAGTTTCACTCTTGTTGCCCAGGCTGGAGTGCAATGGTGCGATCTTGGCTCACTGCAACATCCGTCTCCCGGGTTCAGGTGGTTCTCCTGCCTCAGCCTCCCGAGTAGCTAGGATTAAGGCATGTGTCACCACGCCCAGCTAATTTTGTATTTTTAGTAAAGATGGGGTTTCACCATGTTGGTCAGGCTGGTCTCAAACTCCAGACCTCAGGTGATCTGCCTGTCTCAGCCTCCCAAAGTGCTGGGATTACAGGCGTGAGCCATTGTGCCTGGTCAGAACACCTGGGATCTTTCACTTGAGTACTGTGTGACTTGGGCAGGTCACCTCACCTCCAGAGGCTGCTTTTTCCTTATCCATAATAAAATGGGGATCATTACCTTTATCACAAAGGGTTGCTATGAGAATTAAACGAGATAATGCCTACAAAGTCTTAGCACAGTGCTGGACAAATAGAAGCAAGTCAATAAAATGTATTAGTTTTCCTATTTATTCTGTCATCCATTCATCTAATCGCTCATGAGTGCCAGGTCCTAGACTCACCCATTCAGTCTTCAAAAACTGTATACCAAGCACCCATCTTTGTCATAAAATAAGTCCATTTGGTTGGGACAGCCACAGGCAAAGTGCCAGTCTGAATGTTCGATGAGCTTTAGTTTTATTGCTATGCTCAGTGTTGTTTCAAGTGTGCTGTGTGTACATCCAGTCTCTCGGGCTGTCTTCCTTGGGGAGGCAAATCGCTGGGCACACGCCTCTCCTTATGCTTACTTATGTCTTTGTTCTAGGAACAACAGGATTAAATGTAAGCAGACAGGCAACATTTTTCCTTTCTGTCTTCAGATGATTTCCAAGGCATGAAGTATGTTTCACCTGAGATAAGGACGCAAGTCTGTCTTCACCCTTGCGTGGACAGGGAGTTGCATTAGGAACATTTTTCTCATATTCCTAATGTTATCTTCCTTTGTATTCTTGTTCTTTTTAAAACTTAAGAGCAATTTCTCAGTTCCTGAGTTGGACTTTTGAGTGTTCAATCAGTTCTCTAAACAGTGACTTTGGCACACAAAGTACTTGGATCAGAAGAATCCTGTGGGAAATAGAACTAGCTCTGTTGATCATTCTGAGTCATTCTGTTTTTGAGACTAAAATCCATGCTTTCCAGAGACTGTTGTATAGTCTGAAAAATAAAAACAAGTTACTTAGGACTAGCAGAGGTCCTTCTTACCTACAGACGTGGTGGCAGTGGTGGTGGTGGTGGTGGTGGTGGTGGTGGTGGCAGTGGTGGTGGAGGTGGTGGTGGCAGTGGTGATGCTGGCAGTGGTAGTGGTGGTGGTGGCAGTGGCAGTGATAGTGGTGGTGGTGGCAGTGATAGTCGTGGTGGTGGTGATGGTGGCAGTGGCAGTACTGGTGGTGGTGGCGGTGGTGAAGGTGGCAGTGGTGGTGGTGGTGGCAGTGGTGGAGGTGGTGGTGGCAGTGGTGATGGTGGCAGTGGTAGTGGTGGTGGTGGCAGTGGCAGTGATAGTGGTGGTGGTGGCAGTGATAGTCGTGGTGGTCGTGATGGTGGCAGTGGCAGTGGTGGTGGTGGTGGTGGTGGTGGTGATGGTGATGGTGATGTTGGTGGTGGCGGTGGTGGTGATGGTGATGTTGGTGGTGGTGGTGGTGGCAGTGCTGGTGGTGCTGGTGGCGGTGTTGGTGTTGGTGATGGTGGTGGTGGTGGTGGTGGGGTGTGCATGTGCACGTAGCCCACGTGTGCACTAGTTTCCTGCTGAATAATACTTTGGATGGATGGGGGATCTTTTTAAGGTGAGATAAAAAATATCAATATATGTGTTTGAAAATAGTAACTTAAATGCCTGAGTGATAGGGGATGATTCATGGTAAATCTTCTGGGAGACAGAACACATCACTCCTTCGAACTCCGAAACTAGCCTCCCGGGCAAAATCTAAAACTTAACCACATCATTTCTCCCAGGCAGATGCGTGCCATGCCTACCAGATCATTCACCGGAATGGGATTCCCGACGAGCAGATCATTGTGATGATGTACGACGACATTGCTTACTCTGAAGAGTAAGTGGCGGAGTGCTTGGAACCTGGTGGCGGACTTCAGGGTATTTAAAAAAAGGTCACATAGACTCAGAGGAATCCTAGTGGCCTAATGTTAGAATACATAACAGACTCCCAGACAAAAGACCACAGGGATACCTCTTGTTGAACTTTGGGTTTTTTTGTTTTGTTTTGTTTTGTTTTGTTTTTGTTTTTTGTTTTGTTTTTTTATTGAGACAGTCTTGCTCTGTCACCCAGGCTGGAGTGCAGTGGTGTGATCTCGGCTCACTGCACCCTCCACCTGCTGGGTTCAAGTGATCCTCCCACCTCAGCCTCCCAGGAAGCTGGGACTGCAGGTGTGCACTGCCATGCCCAGCCAATTTTTGTATTTTTTAGTAGAGACAGGATTTCACCATGTTGGCCAGGCTGGTCTTGAACTTTTGACCTCAAGTGATCCGGCTGCCTTGGCCTCCCAAAATGCTGGGATTACAGATGTGAGCCACCACGCCTGACCCTCATGTTGAGCTTTGACCATAACTTGGGTGTGCCCTGGGAGTGCCAAAGACCTGGTGGGTGCTTTGAAAGGGTTTAAAAGCTGAGTTCCTCCTCACCTTGGAGAACTTGCTGGGTTCTACGGTGCTTGCTCCTAAGCTCCGAGCAGGCTGCAGCACAGGGGACCTGCACGTAGAATGCTTTTGTTTGTAGGTTAGATCTTCCTACTACCTTCTTTCTATACTTACTTTATTACTTGCTGAGTTTAACTTCACAACTAGTTCCCTTGTGCTCGCTTATCTGATTTCTTGCAGAGATCAGAGGCAGCAAGTATGGGCATAAACTCAGCGAGTTCTAACCTCCTAGCTCCGTGGTCACCCTGCTGCAGCCGCGGTGAAGGGCGCTACCCTTACTTTGGTCACATTCTCAGCTCATCCATCACCCATTCTGAGGCTTTAATGCCTAAGCTCTTGTATTAAAGTCTTGTTCTCTGTCCTGTCTCTTTCCGAAAGTAGTTTCGCTCTGAAAGAGCTTTTGATGAGGCCTTGCCCTCATGATGCTCTCTGGTTTCCAGCAGGCAGCTGGCAGCACCTAGGCTTTTGGTCCCTGCCCGAGGCTTTTCAAGCTCAGCTCCTCACTGCCTCTGCCAAGAGCTCTTGGGCTGTGGGACTGCTGAGATCCCCAAGCTGCTAAAACCACTTACACGTTGGCCACTGTGCAGGCCATCAGTTGCATCTTTGACAAACATAGATGTTTCCTGTTTTTTCACATAACAGGCGTGTGTTTGAAGAGAGAGATTTCGGAGGCATGCCACATTTTGTTTCAATTGTGTCCTTTAATTTTCAGTAATCCCACTCCAGGAATTGTGATCAACAGGCCCAATGGCACGGATGTCTATCAGGGAGTCCCGAAGGACTACACTGGAGAGGTGAGTGGCTGCCGGGGGTGGAGCCAGCAGGTTTAGTTTTCATTTTAGTGATGATTTTTCCTTCTTTCTTCTGTTTCTAGAATCAGAACCTCCCTAGACTGGCTTCTGGTCAGTGTTTCACATTTGTATTAGGATTTGTGCCTGAGGAGTAAATTATGAGAGTTTTGAAAGAAAGCAGAGGAAGGCCGGGCGCGGTGGCTCAAGCCTGTAATCCCAGCACTTTGGGAGGCCAAGACGGGCGGATCACGAGGTCAGGAGATCGAGACCATCCTGGCTAACACGGTGAAACCCCGTCTCTACTAAAAAAAATACAAAAAACTAGCTGGGCGAGGTAGCGGGCGCCTGTAGTCCCAGCTACTCGGGAGGCTGAGGCAGGAGAATGGCGTGAACCCGGGAGGCGGAGCTTGCAGTGAGCGGAGATCTGGCCACTGCACTCCAGCTTGGGCGACAGAGCGAGACTCCGTCTCAAAAAAAAAAAAAAAAAAAAAAGAAAGCAGAGGAAAAGAAAATGTTTAGAATAAGTTGCAATCTACTGATAGTTACCATCTTACACTTTAGGCCTGACCGTGTAGTTTCTTCCATGTTAACCTTTCTTGAGATATCACCATTCATCTGATTATACATTACCTGTGCTCTTTTATAAAAATCAGTTTTCGCCATACCAGGCTTGGTGCAAAGTAGCTCAGGATTTTTGCTGAGATAGTTTTTCATTTATTATTATATATGGTTTATTACATTACATAGTGTATTATAGATATAATAGTATATTACTTCTAGAAACTTTTCTGTTCCTCCCAGTTGATTGAGACTGTCTCAATGGACACATTTTTAAAATCACCGTAATGCCTTCATTCTCCTGGTTTTCATAGTCTGTTTTAAATGTTGGATCTTTTAGGAATTAATTATCTTTTTGATAAGAAACTTTTATCTGATGTTTAACAATTCTTTCAGTTTTATTTTATTTTATTTTTCTTTTAAAGTCAAATACAATTAAATTTAATATATCATACAGGTAAAAAGGATGATCCTATTTAATGAAATTGTTTCTGTATAGTGTTTGTTTGTTTGTTTGAGATGGAGTCTTGCACTGTTGCCCAGGCTGGAGTGCAGTGGCACAATCTTAGCTCACTGCAACCTCTGCTTCCCTGGTTCAAGTGATTTTCCTGCCTCAGACTCCATAGTAGCTGGGATTATAGGCGGGTGCCATGATGCCTGGCTAATTTTTCTACTTTCAGTAGAGGTGGGGTTTCACTGTGTTGGCCAGGCTAGCCTTGAACTCCTGACCTCAAGTGATCTGCCCACCTCGGCCTCCTAAAGTGCTAGCATTACAGGCGTGAGCCACCACACTTGGCCAAAAGTGTTTGCTCTTGAGCCTTGAGCCTTGGAATGTGCAGGCTGGTGGCGTGGGTTGGCTGCAGACTCAGCCAACTCTCTGGGTTGGAGTGACAGCTGCATCTGATTGTGGCTCCTAATTCTTTGTAGGATGTTACCCCACAAAATTTCCTTGCTGTGTTGAGAGGCGATGCAGAAGCAGTGAAGGGCGTCGGATCCGGGAAAGTCCTGAAGAGGTAATGTCTGTTTACAGATACTACACTTCTCTCCATGGCTTGGGACCCCAGTATAGAGAATTGAAACAGGTGTTGTTCTGTGCTCCCAGCCTGTTTACCTGTGAGAAATGACAGAGTGGAGAGTTTTGTTCTGATTTAGGACAGGTGCTTAGGGCTGTTGTTTCATGGCTTCTCTTGGCAGCCCATTTCTGCACTGAATTCACCTTGTGATCCAGGGTCCCTCATGATTAATAGAATGTTCCTGTCACTTAAACTCCTCGTTCCTTGTTGTCTGGGGATCGTAGCACAGGGATGTCCCACTGCCTGTGGAGCCCCTGAGGCAGGTTTGAATCCCTGTGGCCAGATTGCAGGACCACCAGCCCTGTGCCCTGATCACAGATCAGCCCAGCCGGGAGAGGCACATTTGTAAATGCAGAGCTGACTTTCATACTGGGGAAAACGAACCCCAGCGCTTACCCTGCTGGCTGTGGGCTAGAGATGTCTTACTGTTTAGTAATTTTTCATGTGGCATTTTTATGTGATACCAGAGATTCCAGTAGCATGTTTCTTTTAGGCTGGAAGGGAGACCTGGGCACAAGTTAGCTCGTGTGAATTAGTGCAGAGGCCTGGTGCGGTGGCTCAGCCTGTAATCCCAGCACTTCGGGAGGCCAAGGTGGGCGGATCACTTGAGATCAGGAGTTGAAGAGCAGCCTGGTCAACATGGTGAAACCCTGTCTTTACTGAAAATACAAAAATTAGCCAGGCGTGGTGGCATGTGCCTGTAGTCCCAGCTACTCCTGTGGCTGAGGCAGGAGAATTGCTTGAATCCAGGAGGTGGAGGTTCCAGTGAGGCAAGATTGTGCTACTGCACTCCAGCCTGAGCAACAGAGTAAGACTGTCTCAAAAAAAAAAAAAAAAAAAACACACACACACTTTGGGAGGCTGAGGTGGGTGGATCACGAGGTCAGGAGTTTGAGACCAACCTGGCCAACATGGTGAAACCCCATCTCTACTAAAGATACAAAAAATTAGCTAGACGTGGTGGCGCGTGCCTATGATCCCAGCTATTCAGGAGGCTGAGGCAGGAGAATTGCTTTAATCTGGGAGGCGGAGGTTACAGTGAGCTGAGATCACGCCATTGCACTCCAGCCTGGGCAACAGGGTGAGACTCTATCTCAAAAAAAAAAAAAAAAAAAGAAATGGACATCTGTGAGGGTGAACCAAATTGGCTTCATGTAAGTTATTACATCTCTGCCACTTCGACGCAGCTCCATCTGGGGGAAGCCCTGGTGAGGCAGGCAGGTGGTCATCCAAACTGTGTGGGCTGCAGGAGGCCTGGAGCGGGAGGCTGCCGGCCTGTGTTGAACTCATGTTGGGGAGATCTGGTTGGAGAGTGTGGCTGCCTGGGATGAGACCCAATTGCCAGAGGACCCCACTCTCCACCTCACACCAGGTCTGTGTGATCGGTTGCCCAGGAAAGGCCCCTCCTCCTTTCCAGCCATACTTCAGAATTTGGAGGCTCTAGGATCTATACTGTGGTTCAGAATCACACTAAGGGGAGTGGAAGGGACAGGCCGGACACTGGGCCCTTGTGTTCATCTTCAAACCTGGTTGGGCAACTCTACTCCCCAAACTTCTTAATTTTTTGATTAGGGCAGCTTTTCAGAGAAATAGAAGTAAAAATAGAAAAAGGAAATGATTGACTTCTGATTCTTTCTTGGCAGCGGCCCCCAGGATCACGTGTTCGTTTACTTCACCGACCATGGATCGACTGGAATACTGGTTTTTCCCAATGAAGATGTGAGTTTTCTTGACATTTTAAGGACAAACTAGCAGAACAGAAAAGCAAGGTGTCGAGATTAAACCCATAGCATGTATTTTCTAGTGTCCTGCAAGGGTTGGTTTGTACGTGTGGTGGGTGGGAGTGGGGGACAGGTTTAGCAGCTTGAAATCTATCCAAGGACATCTCTTCCAGACGGTTTTCCCTGCATTTCTGTTCATATCGCAGCTTCAGTAGCTGTCTCAGGACGTGGGTGTATCGCACTAGACCTCAGAATAGACCAAAAGCTCTGGACAAAGTAATGGGTGAAGAGATACATCCTCTTCCCCTTTTTAAGTGTGGGCATAAAACACGTGATGACATTCTGGGATTATGTTCTTCCCGATGATTACTTCTAGGGGTTGGTAGAAAAGAGTTTATGAAGCATCATCAGAACTTCAGTAGTGAGTTATCCAGCGAATAGTTTCTCTTGATGTGTTGGTCTGAATCAATATTCTCACCTTTCAGCTTCATGTAAAGGACCTGAATGAGACCATCCATTACATGTACAAACACAAAATGTACCGAAAGGTAATTCAGCCCTTGGGGCAGCCTTGTGGGGAGGGCTGTGGGGAAAGCCGTGGGTGCAGAGCCCACAGTCCCGTGACCATCCTTCAACTGTGGGTGCTGTGTTTTCTAGAAAGGGGATCCTTCCAACCACTAGTTTCCCAGGCTGAGCCTTTCAGCTTTAGCTATTAGATTGGAATCACTGGAGAGCTTGTTAAAATAGTGTGGGCTTCGCCCCCAGAGTTTGACCCAGTAGGTCTGGGGAGGCGGCCTGAGAATTTGCCTTGTGTTTCTGTGTGATCCTGCTGCTGCTGGTCTTCGGCCCACACTTTGCAGACTCCTATTCCTAAGACTGTCCTCAATTTTGGGCAGTTGGGGAGGAAAATACCATTATCTTATTCTCACTTTGAGCCTTTCTCACCCTTATAGCACCCTTTATGGAAACTGTGTAGGGCCAGAGTTTTTGGCCAGATGCGGTGGCTCACTCCTATAGTCCCAGCACCTTAGAAGGCCGAGGCAGGAAGATCACTTGAGGCCAGGAGTTTAAGACCAGCCTGGGCAACATAGTGAGACTGTGTCTCTACCAAAAAAAAACAAAAAAAACAAAAAAAAAAAAACAAAAAACCCTGCATAGGTTGGGTGATACGTGACAGTAACGCAGAAAGATGGCCTGCTGGGCTGTTTGGTCTTTGAAACTCCTCCCTGCATTGGATGGTGGAACCGTTTTCCTTAGCATCACATGGCTCCATTTTTTCTGCATTGTTTCAGCTAATAGATGATTTTACTCCATTAGCAATGAATAAATTTGTGTGGCAGCAGCTTCCATAGCCTCTGGCAGCAGCCTCTTTACAGCAATGTCTCCCAGAAGCAAGCCTGGAGGACTTGTTAGGAATGGGTAGAGAGAGTGGGCAGAGCTCCAGTAGTGTGGCTGGAGGCCTGTACCTGGCTGGGGTGAGCTCACCTGCCCCGTCTGCCTCACAGATGGTGTTCTACATTGAAGCCTGTGAGTCTGGGTCCATGATGAACCACCTGCCGGATAACATCAATGGTAGGTGGTTGGGGTGCCGGCCTCGACCTGGGCTGGCAAGCAGGTTGCTCAAATATCGCTGACATGGAACCGAGCATTCTCCATAAGCAGGGGCTGCTGAGGGCAGCCTGGGCCATAAACATGGGGAGATACCTGCAGGTAGCTCTGGGCTTCCTCTGCTCTTGAAGAATTGGTAGTCAGGGAATAAAGAATCTGTATGTGAGCCTCACAGTGCTCTTCCAGGTTCTAGTAAAACTACTGAAGCTAAAACTACATGGGCTTTGGACCAGCCTCCATCCTTTGCAATGTGTTGGTTGCTCTCTGACCTCAAGCAGGTGACTGGCCCTCTTTGATCCTCAATTATCCCCATCTGTAAAATGGGGATAAAGATAGTATGTGTCTGTTGGGAGACTTGTATTTTAAACACTAGCATTTGTCCAGCACAATTCTAAGCCCATGGTAGAGAGATAGTAAGTGGTAGCTTTTGTATAGGTTCAGTTAATCTAGATGTTTCTTCAATAAATGTCAGATCTCTCTGGAAACCAAAGTAAGCCCATATTCTTTAAGTTTCCCATGCTGTGGAAATGTCAGCATTCTTCCAGAATAGCATGGTGTCCTAAGCATGCCAATTTGCCAATTGCTGCAAAAAACCTCTATCAGCTGGCTCCTCTTTCTTCCGCTTTTAATTTGAGATGAGTTATTGTAATGGAATGCACAGGGCTGGGTCCAGTTACGTGTCCCTGCCCTCCTGTGCTCATCATAAGTAGCATGCTTCGATTTCACCAGGGGAGAAAGAAGGACCCAAGCTTCAAGCGTAATCCAAGGCAGTAATAAAATGCGACTAAAAGATCATCTTTAATTCCTCGTAGTTTATGCAACTACTGCCGCCAACCCCAGAGAGTCGTCCTACGCCTGTTACTATGATGAGAAGAGGTCCACATACCTGGGGGACTGGTACAGCGTCAACTGGATGGAAGACTCGGACGTGGTGAGCCCTTCGGGGGCTGGCGGTTCAGCGGGGGTTTAACCATCAGACTCTTGACTGTCAAAGGTCTTTAATGGTCTCACGTTTTGCAGGAAGATCTGACTAAAGAGACCCTGCACAAGCAGTACCACCTGGTGAAATCACACACCAACACCAGCCACGTCATGCAGTACGGAAACAAAGTGAGTCGGGAGCCTCGCCTGCCGGCCCTCCGTTACCTTGTGAACTAGGTGGACTTGCCTGGCATATTGATCTCTTGCTAAAGAGACACGGGATCTGGGTGAGGAATGGTTGGGGCAGGGGATGCCTCTGCCTCTCATAGCCATTCCATCCTGGGGACCTGTGGGCTTTGGAATCAGACCTTGTTAGGTTCAAACTTGCAGAGTTGTGAGGCTTTGGGCAAGTGATTTCACTTCTCTGAATTTGTTTCCTCATTGGTCAAAACCCAAGTGCACAAGGTAGCTAGGCGCATGAAAGAGGGCTGTGCATTACTTACGCTAAACACAGGCCTAGTGTGCAGCAAGAGATCACTGACTCGAAAGCTGCTGCTCTACGGTCTGTAGGTGGTCCCACAGCCACTCTGCACCTTGGATTTTCTGGAGTCCTGCCACTTTGCAAGCTGCAGGTTGTTACCTTTACCCTTTGGCTATAAATTGGAGACATTTTATCCTCCTCCAGATATGTCCAGAAGGGACCTCTGTGGTTAAAGGGTGTTGTGGCAGGTGGCTGCTAAAAGCTTGGACCCTAAGTGAAGCTGCTGGGGCTAACGTTTGGTATGTGCAAACACCGTAACAAATGTGCAGGACCTCCCAGTTGTTCATATGCCCAAACACCATTCCCCAAGCAGCCCACCCCCAGTGGAGAGCTCGCCAGCTGAGATCTGTTCCTTGGGCACAAGCATTGGCCTTCTAGAAGAACCTGGAGTCAGTAAATCCAACCATCGTTAGCCCTTCAGCAGAGCATGGGCTGGGGGGCATGAGACCTGCACCCAGGGCACCATGACCTGGTCAGGCTTTTGAGCCAGCGTAGGAGAGAGTTGGAGCAGAGAGAAGGCCAGGGAAAGGTGACCCAGAGAAGGCAGGGTCAGTGGTGGCATAGCCCTGGCCATGTGGGGGCTCTGCCCTGGGCTTTCCATTCTCGTCACAGTATCCTCAGCATTGGCCATTTCTGATCTTGGTTGAGGGGTTGTGGTGGATCTTCTCCAAACTCTGTTTTTGTATAGATTTGTGTGTGTGGTATTATTGATTTTAGAACTGTCTTTAGATTATTGTTGCTTGCGTTAGGAACAGAACGCTTGCAGCATTTTCCCTTCTGATTGGGAGCCAGTCTGTAGTGACTGCTGCAGCCAAATCGAGCCTGGCCGCTCTGCCCATTTGCTAACTCTTGATGCCAAGCATCAGCCTGGCCTCTCTGTGACCTTAGCTCTGCCCTTCCCAGTGGACCCAGACTTCAGCTCTAACCTGGGCAGACGCTTTGTACCTTCCCACTACTGGCCCTTAGGGACGTGCAGGTGAGTGCGGGTGGGTGAGCACATACAGGGCACCCGCCTGGATAGGCGGCATCCTTTGCAGGTGACATTCTTTGCCCGGAATCCTTTGCAGCAGAACTGCTATTCTTTTTACATATGAAAGGCGCTGCTGATCCACAGGCAGAGCTTGGACCAGAGCTGTCTGGTGAAAGAATAGCAGTTCTGCTGCAGAGGATAGCAGGCATGTTGAGTCACTCGCTGGTAGATTTTAGGGGCTCCCGTGCAATGCCTGCATACTGCTGGGGTGACTACGTCTTTTCAGGCTGCAGTTGTGGCCCTGTGGCCCTGAAAGCATGAGGAGTAAATGTGAGCCTCTGATGGAGAGGCTGGACTTGGGGTACGTTGGGCACATCTGCTCCTCCCACTCAAACCAGCTCTCTCTCTCCCTGTCTCTCTCTCGCTCTCTCTTGCTGTCTCTCTCCCCAGACGATCTCCACCATGAAAGTGATGCAGTTTCAGGGTATGAAGCACAAAGCCAGTTCTCCTCTCTCCCTGCCTCCAGTCACACACCTGGACCTCACCCCCAGCCTTGACGTGCCCCTCACGATCATGAAGAGGAAACTGATGAACACCAATGATCTGGAGGAGTCCAGGCAGCTCACGGAGGAGATCCAGCGGCATCTGGATGTGAGTAGGGGTGAAAGGAGCAGTGCCCAGGTGCTGTCCCCAGCCCAGGTGGGCAGCATGCATGAGCACGGCCCTGCCTCCTGACCGTTCTCCCTGCCATGCAGGAGTGTGTGGGGACGGAAGCCAGCCTCCGTCCTCCATGTAACGGAAGCGGGTGGGCGGAGCCGTGGTTGCCTCCCATCTTCATGAGTAACCTTAACCTCTTCGGCAGTAGGGAGCAGTGGAATGGGGGCCGTCTCCCCTGTATCGTGCCAAGAAGCCATGTACATGGGTGTTTCCCTCTTTTATACCTTGTTGCTTAGAGGATATTTTTATTTTGTTGCTTATTAAGTTATTAGCTAATCATATTCATTTTAAAAATCCAGAGCCAGGTACTAGGCATGTGCCTCTAGTCCCAGCTACTGAGGGGGCTGAAGCAGGAGGATTCCTTGAGTCTGGTCAGCTTGGGCAACCAGTAAAACCCTTTCTCTTAAACAAAACAAAACAAAAATTCCAATCCACAAAAATTTCTGCTATTCTCAGAAAAACATAGTCATGCCTAAAATTCTTTCTAAAAATTTCTGCTATTCTCAGAAAAACATAGTCATGCCTAAAATTCTTTGTAAAAATTTCTGCTATTCTCAGAAAAACATAGTCATGCCTAAAATTCTTTCTAAAGTGCTATGCCGTCCTTTCCAATCACTGAGTCTGTTTTCAGTAGCTCATCAGTGTGTTTGGAGCTGGCAGAATTGCTGTGTAAATTACAGCTGTGCGCTCACTAGACTGCTGGGCAGAGGGCTGCCTGTCCCTTCCCACAAAGCCAGCTCTGTTAACTCTTGTCCCCATTGTCAGCACAGCACAGTGATGGATGTGCTGAAATATGGCCTGAGTTTTCTAGGCAAGTTTTTT